TTTTTTTTTTTTTTTTTTTTTTTTATTTTTTAGGAATTTTTTTTTTTTTTTTTTTTTTTTTTTTGCCGTTATCCTTGATGACTTAGATCTGGCCTATAAATAGCACAATCTTATGATAGGCCTCATTCACGCTTGTTCGCGTATCGTGTTATGGAGCGACTAGAGTGTTGTCTTTTGAGATCCAATGCCGCGTGTTTGCGTGGTGTCAGTTTATCAAGCAGTGACACCATGGCCTAACTCTGACCATGTTGACCTCTGAACTGCTCGTGCATTTATAATTGTTTTTTAATGAAAAGTTTTTTTTTTGTTCTTTTTTTTTGCAAACAAAAAAACAACAAAACAACTATGCAATTAAAAATGTCCGTACCAATATTAGGGAGTTTTGAACGTTTATCTTCTACCAAGTTCTTTTTAAAATGCAATTAATTTAAGCGAGAGATTGATTGGTTTGGCTGCCGGGCCGGGCACATGAAGAGCTATGTGGATTAGGCGTGGTTGGTGGCACATTTCTGAACAAGGAATTAATGGAAAGTTCTTTTTGTGTTCCCCCGACCGTGGATGAGAAAGAGATGGGAACCGGCCCTGGCTATGTTTGATTATATTTATGTGCATGTGTACGTATGTCAGTACTATTGTATTTAAGAATAATTGATTTTTTGTTTTTGAAGTTATGTAAGCGACAAGGTTTTACAAGAATGAACTGAACTGAATTCTCGCAATGGCATTGTTACGTTTTAAGCACGGCAATGTGTGTTAGCTGCAATTGGTGATAGAAAAATAATTGTTTTGTTCACGGGACAACTCACCAAATAAAACCTGCTAAAATCTCAAAATCCTGAACAAAAATTAATATTTTATTGAGTAATTTAATTATATTCTTTTTAAATGAAGCAACATGCAAATTTACATCAAAGCAAATTTCACAACACGGTTCTACTAAAAAAAAAACTATGTTGATCACTACGAGTGACAAATAAAGAAAGGAAAAAATTGTTTCGTTTATAATTGTTAATGTGATGACATTGAAGGATGTGCTTTTAATAGTACCTTCATTATAAGTGCCTTTTGTGTTCCATGGTTGTAAAAGTTGAGCAGATGTGTCTTAACGAAACAATGTTTCTTCTTCTTTCTGATTTGTTTAAATGTACCGTACACACGTTTATTGTTGATGTAATGAAGACAATGGATGTGCATGAATTGTTTAAATATTTTTTTCTCTCTTTCATTAGCATTGTAGCCAGATCTTTCTACGCTAGATCTGTGTGTTACAAAAAAAAAAAAAAAAAAGATAATACCCTCTCTTTTTTTTTTTAAAGACTCCTTTGGAAACTATTTGTGTGCGCGTGTGGACTTTTAAAAAATAGCTCCTGTAGTTTCCGATGTGCTTCTTCTGTTTCCTTTAGGGTATGTTTGTTAGTGTAAACATAGTTCTTCTGTATGCAATGAGATGACGTTTATCGATTACAATTTGAAGAGAAGCAAATAAACAATTCTAGTTCCATCTATTGCTATTCTTTTGGTTTCTTTTTTTAACCTTAGATGAATCTTGTGACGAAGTGGAATGTATTCAATGTTCAACGTGTTGCCATGTTTCTATTTATACGATATGTCGTTCTGTTTCTAATCTTGTGATATGTCGCCCTGTTTCTCTCCATGTGACATACTGTTGGGTTTTTTTTCTTTTTTTTTTTTTTTTTTTCTTTTGCTTTTGTTTAATTTTTTTTTTTTATTTTTTTTTCTTTTTGTTTTTTTTCTTTTTTTTTTTTTGTTTTTATTTTTTTGTTGGGTTTTTTTTTTTTTTTTTTTTTTCTTTTTCGTTTGCTTTTGTTGAACGTTCTCTATCGATATGTATTTCCTTTTGATTTATTCCAGTTTTGTATTCTCGTGTTAATATTATTATATACCGGTACGCGGTACTATCAGATTCTTTATTGAGACAAATACCGGTAAATAAAAATGTTTCTTTTTTAAAAATAAATTTCATTGAACAAATTCATTTTCAGCACACAAATAAATACATATTTGAGACAAAGACAACATTTTACAATGATAACAATTTAAACGCAAGACATCTAAGGTATTTCTCTAGCGTAGAAATCAGACATCAAATGTGACAATAACAGATTTGATTGTTGATCATTTAGATGTGGTGATCGCTGGGAGAGCACGCTGGTAAATTCCTACAGGAAAAGGGGGGGGGGGGGGTTTATATCTTTCGGTCCTACTTTTAAGTGAAAAAATTCACCCTGGTTGGGCTGACGTTTTTTAAATACAGTTTTTTTTTTTTTTTTAATTTATACCCCCCC